TTCGCCCCCGTCATCCGCCGGAGCCGCTTGGCTGGGGAGCACCGGGCACCGACGGGCCCCTCGTCGCCCCATGGTGGGGCTGTCCATCCCGACGTGGGAGCTTTGCCCATCCCAACGTGGGAGCTTTGCCCATCCCGCCCCGCTCTGCTACATCCCAGCCCTCTACAAGACGCACACGCAGCCAGGGCAAGGGGCCAACCTGCAACCTGCTGCTTTGCTCCAAAGACCCCTTGGTGGCTCAGGAACCCCTTGAGTGGGAAATGCCCAGGGCAACCCTTCTATTTCAGGATGGATTTGCCCCCCTGCACCAAACAAACTAAAATTTCAGAAGCTTCTTGTCTATGTTCTATGTCCTATGTTGACACTTCCCAGCCAGACTGTGTTTTCCCTCCCTCCATTTCAGGTGATTTCGTGCCAATGGGGTCCAACCCAACGCCTGCATGAGGCACAGGGAAGCCACAGCAGACCCCAGTTTGCAGCCCTATTTTCTCTGCTTTGCAGCACACACAAAACTCATTACAGTCATCAGGATTGTTTTAACCCTGGGTAATTCTTCAATGCTCACAACACGTTGCTCAACAGCCACCAACACCGTGGTGAGACCTATCAGAATTGCATAGGAAAGGAAGAGCCAGCAGAGCCAGAAAAGTTCATGCCACCAAATAAATCCATGCAGTACCCATGGTCCAAATACTTCCATGCAGGGAAGCATTATAGGAGAAGATCGAGAAGCATCACAGAGGTGATGGAGAGCCACAAAACCTGCATGCTGCTCCTTGCAAAGCGTCCACTTGCAGCAAATCCCCTGCTCCATCCCGGCACGACGGCACCGTCGCATCCAGCATCTTCCTCGCGCTGCCGAGGGGCTGGGGCTCCTTGCGCCAAGGCCACGCGATAACCCCGAGCCAAGAGCAGAGCCTGGACCTTGCCCAGGGAGACTAATCTGGGACCCAGATGTAAAGCACTCTTAAGTACTTTACTGGATCAAAGCCCAAAATATTAATGCCTAGTATTACATGGCAACAGTGCTTAAGTATGTGATACTAAATTAGCTGTTTCTCTGATGTCTCTAGTTTGCTTACATTTGATAACACTATTTATTGACTTCCAACTATGCCAGCTATTAAAGTTCCTGCATTTCCACTGCACAGTCCCCTTGGCTCTCCGGTGCGGTCCAGCACCCTGCACGTCTCGCCCCACAGCACCGATACCTTTTCCCTTCACCTCTCCCTTCCAAGGGGCCAAAACTGCTCGGCCAACAGAGAAAAACAACCAGAATGTGGCAATGCCCAGGTTCAGATGGAGTCCATTTGAATATCCAATATTTCTTCCCAGATCCAGACAATTCTTCCCTACGCAAGCAACGAAGCTTTTCTAGCTCTGCTGAAGAGAAGCCCAAGGACATTTGAAGGAGCTGCAGGCAAATGCACACGTGGCTCTGCACTGCTGTGAAAGTTACTTAACGCATAACCTATAAGAAAGCAAATTCTGCCCAACTCCTGGGTCCGAGAGCTGCAGCCTGCACGTGGGAGGCCATCGGTGATGGTACCGCTGTGCTCTTTTCCAAAACCTTTCCCATTTCAGGCCATACTTGGCACTGGGTGACAGTCTGGCCAACACTGCAGAAGGCCCAGTCCTGTCCCCGCTGTGTTTTAAGCAGTACAAGGGAACAAAACTGCTGGAAACATCCCAGTCCCATCCCTAGTGTCACTTCACCCAAACAGCAGCATTAAGGCAACACCCAAAGCCCCATTTATTTGGAGTAAATGAATTTTCCGTGCGGATCAGACCGTGAATCTGCCCCGGGACTTTTTGACCATGACGTGGGCAGGAGGAGCCACTTGGTGGCCCCGGTCTCACCACGAGCATCACCAGCGGCTCCCTGCTCCCCCCAGTGACGTCCCGCGGGAAAACACCGTTTTTGGGCAAGCAAGGAGGGACTTCGGGGCTCTTGAACCAGCAAAACGCAGGTCTGCACCCCGCCAGGACGGGGGGGACCTGCGGGAAGCACCGGGTGTCCCCAAGGGTCCCCAAGGGCGCGGAGCAGCCCTACCTGGCCGAGGCGCAGCGCCAGGGAGCCGTCGGGCGAGAGCGGGCTGGGCGGCTGTCCCGGCCGGCGGC